TGTCAGGCACTGTACTAAGCTTTGGGGATACAAATACATTTTAAAAAAAAAAGATCATTCAAGGAGTTTGTAATCTAATAGGGGAAAATAACACATGACCTCCTTGATGGAGGTTTTAGAATACATAGATCTTCCCTCCATTCAGAAGACAGAGGATACTGACGGGATATGAGAACCAAAGCTGATTCAATCTTTAAGGATAATGAGGTTTCCCAATGAAGAGGTTTCAAGGAGGCATACTGAAGAAGTTAAAAAAGTTCATCAAGGTGAGAAATGAAAATATTATCTGTTTTAATGATTTGTTTTTTGACCCACTATTCAGAATGCTATTATTTAGTCTCCATTTAGGTGTATATTTTTACTCATATTTCCATTGCTCATTATTAATCTTATTACAGAATAGTTTTTTGTCTAAATTTGAATTTCATTGATGTTGGAAATACAGTTTTATTGTGCTATTGTCTATAAAAAGCTTTGTTACATATATATCCTTTTATATTTTTTTATAATTCCCTTTTGCTGTAGCAAATAATCAACTTTTTTTCAAAGAACGGAATTCTGGGGGGGAAATGAGAATTCTTTTATATTCCTATTGAGATTTCCTTATATGTTTTTTTAAAAATCTCGTTTTTCCAACAATTTGTTCCACTCTATATTTTTGCTCTTATTTATTTTTCTGTTGGATTTATCTAGCTCTGTCAAAAGAAGATTAAAGTGTCCCATTATTATTGTGTTGCTATTATTGTCTTCCTGCAATACACCTAACATCTTTTTATGAATTTAGCTGTTATGCCATTTGTGCCTATATATTTAATACTATCATTTTTTTTCTTTATGTATGCCACCTTTAAGTATGTATATGTATGAGGTCTTCAGGAAGGACTAGTGCCTCTGGCATGAGAGCTTCCAAGCCCTTTTCCTTAACAACTTTTGGTGTCTACCTGTCACCTAGCTCTCACCTGTGGCTCCAAGAAACCATAACATGTACAGTGGCCAAACCATCTCAGCAGATATGCTACACCAGGTTGAGAGTAACTGATGGGCCTCAAACCCAGTGGTGAGTTAGCAGGGTGTCTACCCCAAACATGTGAAGACTTCCCCAGAGGAATGGGAGAATGTGAACATTTTGTTTCAACTGGCCATGAAAATGGCAGAAGCAGGGACCATAGAGCACTTAGATCTTGGTCAGACACCAAAGATGCCAAGGTCATCTGCTGCATCTGGAGCCATTACCAGGCATCTTTTGTCTTGCCATTTGATGACTCTGGAAGAGAGAATGAAGCTGATGACTTTGAGCAACTCTTCTTCACTTAAATCCAATTTATGTGAGAGTCAAAAGGCATCACCCATACCGTTTTACAATTTTATTATTTTACTATTCAAAAAATTTATTATTTAATTATTTTACTATTTTATTACTTATTATCTTATTATTTTACCTGCCTTGAAATCCAGCAAGTGTAGATACACTGGAAGTTATGATCACAACCATGCAAATAGGCAGCTCAAGTCACGGTGTTGTCTTCTTATTGGACTGAAGCTGCAGTGATATTCAGCAGCTCCCTAAGTGTCTGAGTAGCCTTTTTTTGGGTGGGTGGGGGGAGCGGGCAAGGTAATTGGGGTTAAGTGACTTGCTCAGAGTCACACAGCTAGTAAGTATTAAGTGTTTGAGGCCAGATTTGAACTCAGGTCCTCCTGACTCCAGGGACACTCCAGTAGACCTGAAAAACCAACCGCTGTTGTGAGAGAACTCAGCAAATTTTGCATCCAAAAAGCAGCCCTGATCGAAAATAAGGCTGGAAAATGAAGGCCAGCTTACCAAAGTCAGAACTGAATATATATTTTTCTGGAGTAGCTGCAATGATGAAGAATGCAATGAAGCTATCATAGGTTTCATAATAAAATCTAATCTAGTCAACAAACTTGTAGTGTAGGACAGACAAATGACAATGTGATTTGCCATTTGCAGAAAAGCACCATGCCACCATCATCAGTGTGTATGCTCCCACCATGACAAACCTTGATGAGGTCAAACAAAAAATTTATAAAGACCTGGAGACCCTCATCATCAATGTGCCAAAATAGGTCAAATTTGTAATTCTGGGTGATTTTAACACCAGAATAGGCACAGAGTATTAAACATGGCATGGAGTCTTTAGGAGGAATGGAGTTGGCAATAGCAACAGTCAATTACTGTTGAAAACTTGTGCATCTCATGACCTTCTTATTACCAATACTGTCTTCTCTTTACCTAAATGCAGCAAAACTTCATGGATGCATCCTCAGAGCAAACATCAGCAATTAATACATTGTGTCATTGTAAGGAAGAGAAAGATAGCATGTGAGAGTGACAAAGGCTATATGTGGCACAGAGTCTAGATCAATCATAGATTTCTCCAAGCTCAATATTCACATTCACCAAAAGCAATGGCCCCAAGGAGTGATGCCTATCAGAAGACTCAATTTCAACAGATTAAAACTTCACCATGCGTGAACAGTTTGTTACTGATTTGGGGAAAAAGCTGAGCCAACATATTGTTTGTAACAGGGGAGCAGAGAAGGAGTGGGCAGCTTTCAGAGATTTGTGTATAGTGCTGCATTTACTCATCTGGGCCAGAACACTTGCAATCAGGACTGGTTTGATGAAAATTATGGGGAAATTCAGAAGCTACTAAATGAAAAATTAGAATTCTACAGGTTCTATCAGTGGAATAGTTCATCCATCTCAAAAAGGCAATGTTTAAAGTAAAGCACAAGCAAAGCTAAGAGAGATGTAAGATTCTTGGTTCAGCAAGAAGGTAGATGAAATTCAGTTTTGCATTGATAGCATTATAATTTGTAAAGAGCTTAGTACAGTACCTGGCACATAGTAGGCATTTAAGTTTCCTTCCTTCCTAGATTGGAGGCAGTCAAGTATAACTCCTGTTCTGATATTTGACAAGAGCCAAATAATCTCACATGTAGCAGGATAGCCCCAAAGAGAATAGGTTGTTGTCCCCATTGAATCATGAGGACCCAGAAGAGTATTCTAGATTTGAAGCACTTTGTGAGTCAGATGGTTATATCCCATGTTCTATGTAAAGGATACCAGCCATCAATCATTGGCTCAGCTCTCCCTTACCTTGACAATTACTAACTGTGTGACCCTGGGCAAGTCACTTAACCTCAATTGCTTTGCCAAAAAAAAAAATTTAGTAAAATGGTACTGAGACTTTTGGGACACACTATATCAGCTCATTTGTGTGCATGTCTTACAATACCCTATGAAGTAGGTACTGTAGTACTTTTAGGTTCTGGTTCAGATGTGAGATTTCCTCCACACAGGGAACTCCCAGTGTGCAAACTCCCTACATGAGTGCATAGAGGTCATAGAGAAGTCTTACAAAGTATATAGAGAACACTGGGAAGTTGCATGATTTTTCCCCATCACGCATATAATATGTGTTATGGGTGGAAGTCGAATTCAGCTTTTCCTGACTCTACTACCTGGACTACTATCTAATAAGTGCAAAATTTGTGTTGAGCTCTGTCAAGCCAAACTGACTAACCAAGCTGGATACCTGCAATTTACCTTCAAAATTTAATTGGTAGACCAAGAGGTCCTCCACACTAAAGTAACTTTATACTACAGGACTGACTGTGGATATGACATATTGTCACCTGCTAACAGAAAAGTGGCCTGGGAGAGCAACGAGGAGCAAGGCCAGGGTCCCAACGTCACAATGTCCTTCCTGATTCTCTTGGGGTGTGGCATCCAAAACAACCAGAAATCAACATGGGTGCTTCTGTCCATAGACTTTGGGTTGCTTATCTTCATCTGCATTAATTTGAAAGTTTCTTGGTGAATGATTTGGAGTCACTTTTGCATTTTTATGCTGTTTTCCATCATATTTGCCATTAGGCAGAGTGGATACAGAGCTGGTTTGGAGTCAAGAAGACCCAGGTTCAAGGTCCACCACTATATTGGCTGTGGTGACCCTGGACAAATCACTGACCTTCTCAGTGCCTAGGCAACTCTCTAAAATTATTGATTTCTGAGGGTGTGTTAATCTGCATTGGTAGAAGTTTTATTATCTGGTGTACCTTATACCACACAGTTAAAAAAAAAAAAGTCTGTGACAAGCCCTGCCTGTAGGGAATATTGGTCCCGCCCCACTCCCTGTTTGTTCTAGTCTCATTCATCAACCCAAGTAGCTGCAATGCATGACCTTCCCTATTTCCCAACTCACACATTCATAGAGGTTCCTGGTCCCATTTCCGCATTAGGGTCCTCCTCATCCCTCACCACACACACATCCCCCACCTAAAGAGGTTCCAAACTTCTGAACCCTAGCTCTCCCTATGGAGGCCCTCCCCAACACACATCCTCCCCATTCCTAACACATATCCTTCCCCACCCCTTCTCCATAGATACTCCCTGTGGCATTCCCTCCACCTCCACTCTTTCCCTCCCCCAGGGCTCATGTAAGAATAGTGCACAGAACATAGGGTGAGGAACAGGCCAAGTGACAGGTGGTAACATGTACCATCAGCTTTATTGGGAGGAGAAGGTCGGGGAAGGAAGGATACTGTGCGTTGGATTAGGGAGAGAGGGCTCTCAGGAGCAGTTGTATATTAGGCTTTCCATCTTCCCATTACGGCAATGGAATCTGAGATGGACCAAATCATCATGTTCTCCCACCTGGGCTGTTCTGGCTGCTGAGTTGAGCCTGGCTTGTGACTGTGACCAGGAGAGGGAAAGGAGAAGATGGTGAAAGTAAAGCTGAGTCAGCTCACCTCTCCCAAGTCAGGGCTCATGGTCTCAGAGAATGTGGAGTAAGCAGATTTACTGCCCCACCTAGGGCTTAGGCAGGGCTGGGGCTAAAGTAGGGGAACCTAATGGAGCTACTGGCCTCCTAGTGCAGGAAATAGGAGGGTCTAAAGGAAACAGGAAGATGAGGAATCTTCATAGATGGTTCCCACAGAGAGAGGGCATGGCTAGGCATGGGTCCCAGTGGCCTTTACTTCTGCTTGGGCTGCTGGGCAGGTGGGCACTTCTGCTGGCCTGGTACAATCGTGCCCTTGGGTGGGCATGGGTTCTTGGTTTGAGGAGCACATGGATCCTTTGTTTGGGGAGCACATGGCTCCTGGCACTTGACTGGGGGTGGCTGGCAGGGTTGTTTCACCTGCTGCTGCTGAGGCTGCTGGGAGGAGCATTGCTGCTGCTGGGATGACATCGTTCTCCACCGGGATGAGCTTGAAAGGAATAAATATACAGGTGACATTAGCCGCTAACCCAGAACCCACTGGAAAGGAGGAATCACAGTATCTTGGATCTAAAAGGATCAGCCCACCCACCTACCCCTCATTTTAGAGATGAGGTTGCAGAAGCACAAAGCAAGAAAATGCCTTGCCAAAGGTCACACGGTCAATGGTGGAATCAGAGTTTGAATTCAGGTCTTTGGATCCCAATTCCTGTTATCATTTTTCAGCCACAACCTGTAGCTTCCTACACGTTTCCATATGCAGTGTCTAGTAGAGAACTGAGCACAGAACAGGATTATAGGCTTATTGATTTGGACAGGTAGGGGATGCAGAGTGCTAAGCATGGATGAGGATAGATAGGAAGACCTGAGTTCAGATCCAACCTCTAACACTTACTAGTTAATTTGACCCTGGGCAAATCATTTAATATCTCTCAACCTCAGTTTCCTCATATATAAAATGGGGACAATAATAGCACCTTCCTCCCAAGGTTGTTGCAAAAATCAAGCAAGATGATATGTGTAAAGCATTTTGCAAACTATAAAGCACTACATAAATGCTAGCTCTTATTATTATTAAAGAGCAGCTAAGTGACACAGCAGGTAGAGTACTAGACCTGGAATCAGGAAGACCTGAGTTCAATTCTGGCCTCAGACACTCACTAGCTGAATGACTCTGGGCAAGTCTCTTAAACCCGTCTGCCTTAGTTTCCTCATCTGTCAAGAGCTGGAGAAGGAAATGGCAATCCACTCCAGTATCTTTGCCAAGAAAACCCCAAATGGAGTCACAAAGAGTCAGACACGACTGAAACAACTGAACAAGAACAAATTATTATTAAATCAGGAAAATACCTTAGAGATTATCTCATCCAACCCCCTCATGTTGCAGATAAGGCTTATAGAGGTGAGCTAATTTTCCCAAGCCTACACAAGGAGTAGGCAGAAGAGCCAGGATCCAAAAACAGATTTCTGGCTCCAAAGTCAGCATGATTTCCACTCTACCATGTTCAATAAATACATGTTGGCTGGTGAGTAGACTGACGGCTGTCCCAGCCATGGTGCCTAATCCAGGACCCTCTTCTCGGCTGCCTTAAAAAGTGGTGAATTTTCTATCACTGGGAGTCCTCAAGCAGAAGTATCACCAGGGATGCTGTTAGAGGGTTCCTGTTCACACAGAGATTAATCTAGATGGCCTCTAAGGTCCATTCCCAATTCTGAGACTACTGTCTTTCCTCATCTTACCAACGAGGTAAGTCATCTTGGGTAGCTGGGTGGCACCATGGATACAGCATTGGCCTTAGAGTCAGAAAGACCTGAATTCAAACCTTGCCTCGGACCCTTATTAGCTGTGTGACCCTGGACAAGTCACTCTCTCAGGCTCATTTTCCTGGTCTGTAAATGAGTATCATCATAGCACCTATCTCACAAGGTTATTGTAAAAATAAGTTGTTATAAAAGTGATAACGTTGTTGCAAAAATGATAATGTATTTAAAGGACTTTGTAAATCTTAAAGCACTATATAAATGTTAACTATTATTATTAGGGGCCTGAAACTTTGACCTCCTGGGTTGTTGTTGGGGTTTTTTTTGGGGGGGGGAGATAGGGAGAAATAGTACACAGAGCACCAGCCCTGGAGTCAGAAAGACTCATCTTCTTGAGTTCAAATCTGATCTCAGACACTTACTAGCTGTGTGACCCTGGGCAAGTCACTTCACCCTGTTTGCCTCAGTTTCCTCATCTATAAAATGAGCTGGAGAAGGAAATGGCAAATTACTCTCAGTGTCTTTGCCAAGAAAACCCCGAAAGTAGTCACAAAGAGTTGGACACAACCGAACAACAAGAGAGAAATAGTGGAAATATCACTAGACAAAGAGTTAGGAGCCCTGGGGTCTAGTTCTGGCCCTGCTCCTGACTAACTGTGTAACCTTAGGCAAACAGCCTGTGATAGAACCTCAGAAGTGGAAGAGATTTCAGAGCTCAGCTAGTCCAACCTAAGCAAGAAGCCTCTGTATAAGGTTTGTATTTTGTTTTATTTTGGGGCAATTGGGATTATGTGACTGCCCAGGGTCACACAGCTAGTGTCAAGTATCTGAGGCTGGATTTGAACTCAGGTCCTCCTGAATCAAAGGCCGGTGCTCTATCCACTGCACCACCTTCCTTCTCCCTGCCCATCAAATGGATAATCAGCTTCTTCTTGAAGACCTAGAGTAAGGGAGAGCCCAGAACCTCTGAGCCTAATTTTTCCTCATTTGTCCAATGGGGATAATGATATCTGTGAGTAGCAAATGAGATCACGGATTTGAAGGCGCTTTGAGAAGCCAGAGTATGTTTCAAGACATCACATGGATGTATTGGAAAAAGTACTGCCCTGGGAGTCAGGATATCTGAACTCCAACTCTCCCTTCTGCCCCATCTTTAGACTCATAGACAACTGTTTGAGCTAGAAGATATTGTAGAGATCATTTGATCTAATATCGCACTTTACAGATGAGAAGACTGAGGTCCCCAGAAAGGAAATGACTTGTCCAGGAAGACACAGCAAGGACGTACATCGGGCTATAAAGTTCCTTTGAGCTCCATCATCATCTGCCTCCATGGTTCTACCTGGTGAGGTGTAGGACACTACAGTATCCTCACCTAGCTACAAGGAAGCATCCTTAACCCCAATGCCCCCCCTCCAACAGGAGATTATCGAGGCAAATGGTAATCTAAATTGAATAATTAGCTATGAGGCCCCTATTTCGAAAATAGTCAAGAGACTTAAAGGTTTCCCTGAACCCCATAAAAATATAAAGACCAACCAGGCTTTGTTGGCCTTGAGAGCGCGAAAGGGCCCTGACTTACCCAAAGCAGCAGGTAGGATGAGTTAGAAAGAATCAGGGAGCAGATTGTTCAGCTCCCAGATCTTGGGAAGCTTTATACAGTCCCCCCCAACTGCCTCGGGGCACTGGCATGGCCCATGACTATCACATCCCCATGAATACCTCACCAATTTCTCCCACCTGCACTTCCTCCAGGGACTAGTTTTACTAGCCTGTTTTGGTGGAAACCACCCACTGGGTGCTTTTGGCATGTCTCGTTCTTCTCCACCTAAACACATCTGGTGAGATAGTCCAAGGGTGGGGAACCTGGGGGAGTAGAAAAATGAAGTGGAGGGGGAGCATCTAAATCATAGTAACAGCTTATATCTACATAGCACTTTGTGCTTAATAACAATAATAATAATAATAATAATAATAATAGTAGCTAATATTTATATAGTGCTTAAAGGTTTGCAAAGTGCTTTGTAAATATTATCTCATTTGATACAACATCCCTGGGAGTAGGTGCTATTATTATCCCCATTTTACAGATGAGGAATCTGAGACAGACACAGATTAAATGACTTGTCCAGGGTCACACAGCTGGTAAATGTCTGAGGTCACATTTGAACTCAGGTCTTCTGACTCCAGATCCAGCACCATACACTGTGACACCGCGCTGCCTACAAAGTACTTTACCAATACTATCTCAACTGAGCTTCACAGAAAGCCTTTAAGGGAGGAAATCGGAAAAGTGCTATTATTCCCTCTTTACATAAAAGCAAACTGAGGCTCAGAAAATTCAGTTCAATGGGACAAATTTGCATTAAGTATCGGTCAAGTAAGAGGATATACAGATGAAAAATTTCATGATCTTTACCCTCAAGGTAAAAGAAAGGCTGGAGAAATGAAGTGACTGGACCAAGGTGTCCCAGGTAGTAAGTGGCAAAAGCATTCAAACCCAGACCTTCCACCTCCATCGTGCTTTGGAAGCTCTGTAACTGCTGTAGACATAAGCAACATGCAGAAGCCCTGTCTGGTGCTTCCATAATGTAATCATTATCACATTCACCTTACACTGGAAAGGTCCCAGCTTGTACCCAGGCAGAAACCAGTCTCTCTCCCAGCTTCTTCAAGGTAGCACAGTGGATAGAAGCCTGGGCCTACACTCTGGAAGACCTGAGTTCAACTTTGAACTCAGACCTTTACTGGCGGTATGATCCTGAGTAAGAGGATATTAATAACAGTTGTGAGGATCAAATGAAATAATATTTGTAAAGCATTTAGGACAATATCTGGCACATTTTAATTGCTTAGTCATTTTTCAGTCATACCCGACTCTTCGTGATCCCATTTGGGGTTTCTTTTTTGGCAAAGATAGTGGGGTGGTTTGCCATTTCCAGCTCATTCAACAGATGAGGAAACTGAGGCAAACAGGGTTAAGTGACAAGGTCACACAGCTAGGAAGCATCTGAGGGCTGATCTGAACTCAGGAAGAGGAGTCTTCTGCCTCTAGGCCTGGCACTCTATCCACTGTGCCACCAAGCTGCCCCTACCTGGCACATAGTAGGCACTATAGAAAGGCAGGTTCCTTTCCCTTGACCTAGGCCCTGCCTGGCATGAGTTGTCCAGCTCTTGGCAGAGCAAAGTCCAGAAGGTGTCCTGTGTAAGGGAGACCCTAGACTTTTGGTCCTTTTATAGACAGGAAGGAAGGAATTGCTGGGACCTGAATCTTGGATAATCAACCTAGCGATCCGAATCATAAAGAATTGCCGAATGTTAGAGCTGAGCAAAGATCATCTAGGCCAATATGCTCATTTCAGAGGTGCAAAGAAGACAGCTGACTTGTCCAAGGTCATAGGATCATAAATATAGAGCAGATAGGGACAACTAGGTGGCACAGTGGATAGAACACTGGCCTTGGAGTCAAGAGGGCCTGAGTTCAAATGCAGCCTCAGATGCTCACTAGCTATGTAGCCCTAGGCAAGTTACTTAATCCCCCATTGCCTCCAAAACAAAATACTGTATCATTTGATCCCCACAACAACCCTGGGAGGGAGATGCTATTATTATCCACATTTTAACGTTGAGGAAATTGAGGCAGATAGAGGTTAAATGACTTGCCTAAGGTCACACAAGCAGTAAGTGTCTCAGGCCGGATTTGAACTCAG